CATCAGACCCAGACTATAGATCTTTTAAAACAGCAATTCTCTTCCTTTTCTGTTCTTCTTTGTATCTCTCTAGATTGTTCCTCCTTCCTCAGGGCTCTTCTACCGCCTCAAAGTCCTCCTCATCCAAGCCCTCAGCCTCCAAGATAACCCTAACCAGCCAACCCACCCCTTTTATCACACTTACCTTTATTAGTCACAGCCACAATCCATTAAGAGCAAGGCTGTTCCTCTTCTTTGGTAATTGGTAAAACTGAATTTTCAGGGGCAAGGTTGCCTGTAGTCTTTTCTTCTGCACCTAAAATGTCTCATATGTTTTGGGAGACGGGGAATGGTATATGTTACTATTCTCTCATGCTGTTTCTGAATTTGTTCTGGAAAAGAATCTAATACTTAGGCTGTTACCAATAGATAGAAATATGTAGTTTCAGGTCAGCTGATCAATGAGTAATGTTGAGGTTGCTAACAGCTTTCCCTGTAAACAAAGACATGGGCAACTTTAAAAAAATGGATAGGAGTTTTTAAAATGTTAAGCTAATGTCCTGAAAGCAGGACACCACAAGCGCAGTAATGTCACATATTTTTCTCTAGATTTTCTGTGCTGCTACTAGCAGTGGTTTACTTTCTGTATCCATTCTCCCTCTAATAATTTCTGTGTCCTTCCAAAAGCACCCTAAGTAGCTCAGACAAGATAAGAGTCTTAGATCTTCAAGGAGAAAGATCACCTTCTCCCATACAGTTACCTTTTTTATGTTGGTTGTGATTTGATATTTTACAGGTGAGTGCAGGAAAAGGCAGTCACAGTCAGTAAATGCTTCCAGGCTGCCTGTGGGAACTGGATGCAAAGTAGCATTACTGTGTGTAGCACGAGTTTCTCCATCGTGGCTCAGAAAATGAATTCCTCATCTCTCATGGGTGCAAGCTATCCTTCGCTGAGAGCACGTAACATTTGTTTCTGTCAGGAAGTGGTGGGTAGATTTTCTTGTTGCTATGTGCATGGGGATATCAGGATACTTTATCCCTCTGTCCAGGTGTTCCACTGGCTGCAAGGAAAACAACCTGCTCCCTGGTCCTCCTGACTGTGAAAGCAGGTTTGACTCCTGTCAGGAAACTCAACAGCTTCTGTCTCAGAACAGCTGAAATATGCAGAAAGAACTAAGAAACTTGAGACTATCCCTGCACCATACTTCGGCTTCATAGCAGAGAAGCACCAGTATTGGTAAAGAAATGAAGAAATACAGGGAGTCAGTTCTGGCACTCCGGATTTAGAGAGACTTAGTGTTAATAAGGACCTTGTTATTTTGAAAAGCATGACAGAGAAGGAATAGAAATAGTGAGGTGAAATGAGAACAAAGTAATATACCTCGATGCAGTGACCAATAATGAAGCATTTGCATGTAGAAGGAAATGAAAATATCTGGACAAGGGCCTCCTGTTGTACAGTTCTCCCAGAAATTTTGGGAGTTCAGAAAAGATTTTGTCAGAGGCAATAAAGAAATGTCTGGAGGCTGTGTTCCTTTTAGAGATTGTTCCCAGATGAAGAAATTTGTAAGGAAAAATGGGTGAGCTGCCAAACTCATAATGAATGTTTGGGTTAGGGCCATAGGCCTGTGTGTTGGGGAAGGATTCAGAGCAAGGATGGGGCCAGAGAGTACAGGGGCAGGTCCTGGATCCACGGCCTGTCCCCGAGCTAGGAAGAGGTGGTGTCACCTGCAGAACAAAATACAGCCTGTATGTGCGCTAGGAAAGGGGTATGGAGCAGTTGCTAATGTTTACTTCAGGAACTGGGAATGATTATATCTGAAGTGTACCACATCCATCTTTGAATTAAAATCAAAAGCACTCCAAAGGAGTGGAAGCTAACTTGCTCAAAATGTCTCACTAGAGACTTACTCCAAACACCAAGAAGTGCTTGGAATAATTGCTCTTCTTCAGTTATTCTTTGAAGCAATCACAATCATGAAATGTGTTCCCAAAGCATTTTGCACTTGATATGTTTATGAATGAATTTGAAATTTGGCTATTCTTTACTTGTATAATTTTATGGCAAGAAGATGAAACCTTCTTGATGACCTAGGAAATCTTTTGGAATTATCTGAGAATATATCAAACACAATCTTTCTGGCTGTATATTTAGCTAGAGTGTAAAACATTTTAGTAAAAAATGTTTTACACCAGCAAGTTCATACATGTTTTAACAAATTTCACAGGAGTTATGGAGAGACTTACAAGGAAAGAAATTGTAAAAAGAAGACAGGTAAGTAATATTGAGGGTTCGAGGAAAATGAATAATAAAATGGTAAAGAAAGAAGAGACATTTGGGAAGAAGTTGTAAAATATGCTAACAGGGAGAATAGTTTTCTCCCCCTTTTATTTAATTTTGAGTGAAGACTTGTTGTGTTACTCAAAGATAAAATCTAAAAATAAACCTGCTGTTACTGCTGGCAGTGTCCCAGGACATGTAATTTTTGTATATGCATTACTATGGAGTGAGCTAAGAAACACAAAATATTAAAATTACCATTAAAGCCTGCTCAGGCAATAATTATTCTATGATCTCATTTTTTCTTAACTGATTTAATCCTTCCTTTTTGCTTGAATTGTCATACTCTATAACAACATCTTCATGGACCTAATATTTACTTGTTATAAATTACATTTTCAATGTCTAAACTTTGCTGTAGTGTTTACCAAATTGAGTTACCCTCCTTTTGCTCTGCATACAACAATAGCCTTCTTTAACATTTATCCATTCTCCTCTATTAGGATAAAGACCTACATAACCAAATAAGTAATATCTAGATTAAGAAAAAGAAAGAAGTTTTAAGGAGTCATAAAGACATAGGACAAAACTAGAAAATAAATAACTTATTTTTAAACAAGCAGTTTTTCCAAGACAGCCAACTTGCAAAAACATTTGAAACAACACCATCTAAAACTTGTGTCCTTTGAATGTGTTCAGTTTGAATATCCCCAGGTGGAAATGTCTGAGGAAACAAAACAGTGCTGGGCACATTCTTGGGCATTGGAACTCCACCATTATTGTTGCTGTTAAATGGCTGGAGCTGTCCCTGGCCCACAGTGACCAGCAATCCCCATGTGTGATTCAGAAGGTACAGAGAATAATTCCTACAGGGATTATTCCCAGGAGGCCTCTTGCATACAGCCACTGTTTGGGCAGGAGGATGAGTTTAACACTGTGGCTGGAGCCAGCTGGGCTCCGAGCTTAGCTGGAACCTCAGGCTGCTCTCTAGCACTGAGACCAGTGGTACAACGTGGTCTGCGTCTGTGCTGGGGGATGCCCTGAGTCACAGACCAGTTCCATCCACAAAGGATGGATCCCTGGCTCATGCTGCTTCCCATATCCTGCCTGAGTCTGTGAACTGTCCTCAGGCAACAGTATCAGGAGCTGTTCTAATGATTTAACAGTCTAGAAGAGTCAATTTGAATGCCCAAGAAAGCTCCCTAGTGCTACCTTAGTTGTATTAAGGGAATGAAACCTTAGTGAAATACGAGAGGATAGAAACACACTATCAGACACACACCCTGGGTGGGTGAGCAAAATCAAAGCACTTTGAGCTTTGTCAAAGCCAAAACAGGCTGAGCATAATTTGCTTTGAGAAAGGAAACCTGCAGTCATCAGATAAAATGATTTAACTAAATTTTCAGCTTTAGAGGAAATTAAGATGCTCAGTATTATTTTAAGCATTGTTTTATGTATCTCTCAGTGATTGGATCCCAGCTGGATTCTTCCCAGTAGAACTGAAATTTCCTTGCATTGTTGTATTTCCAAAGGTGGCATCGCTGTAACTGTCATTTACAAAGTGGATATTGAATAGAGAGAACATATTTACTACTGGTTTGATCTTTCCTTCTTTCTTTGTCTTCCCTCTCCTGGCTTCCCCTTTGGATAATACAACCCACACTGAGAGGTCTTTTAACTTTTTTGTTGGCAATACAAGACCTCTGCTGACTTAGAAGTAGGTTTATGGATGAGTAGCTCTTTTCAAGGAGTATGTCAATTTTCATAAGAGTGAAAGGGAATTACTTTTGGTTATGAAGATGTTTGCCAAAGTTGTGAGAAAATTCACTGTTCAAAATGAGAGCTGGTCAGAGGAAGAGATTATAGTTTACAGGACAAATGGAGAAGCATGTAAGTGCTAAAAATCTATCACTGAAAATTTATCTGAGAGGATGAGTAGATCTGTAAGTAATTTCTACTGATTGCCACCTTCTCAAAATATCACCAAGGTGGATATTTTATCTATAGAAGAGTTACATTTTATTTTTCACTGAGCCCAAGTTAAATCAACTTTAGTAATTACAGGGTTTTTAAAAAATTCATACCAAATCAGAAGACAAAATTTAAAATACATCTTAATTTGGAAATGTTTGATATTTCTATAGATAGTACTTTGCTGGTCAAAGTAGTTTTGATATATACTGTATTTCATTCAGCTTAATAGATTTTTCTAAAGTAATTCAGCACAATGTGATGTGTTTCTGGTAGTACTATCCACCAAGGCTCTCCAGGCTTTTTCCCACCAAGATTCGTTCCAGACTTCAGAATAGATGAATGAATCCCTTCAGACTGAGATCCAAATCTTTATATTCCAATTAAGAAAGATTCAACACCATGGCTGTAGTTTTGACTTGTTTTCACAGAATCTCAGAATGGACAAGGTTGGAAAGGAGCTCAGTGGGTCACCTGGTCCAACCTCCCTGCTCAAGCAGGGCCATCCCAGAGCACATGGACAGGATTGTGTCCAGATGGTTCTCGAATATCTCCTGTGAGGGAGAACCCACAGCATCTCTGGGCAGCCTGCTCAAGTGCAGCCACACAAATAGAAAAGTTTTTCCTCATGTTCAGGTGGAACTTCCTGTGCATCATTTTCTTCCCATTGCCTCTTGTCCTATTGCCTGGCACCACTGAGCAGAGCCTGGTCCATCCTCTGGACTCTCTCCCTTCAGGGACTGATGGACATTGGTGAGGTCTCTTCTTGAGGCTGAATAGGCCCAGCTCCCTCAGCCTTTTCTCATAAGAGAGATACTCCAGTCCCCTCATCATCTTTGTAGCTCTTCTCTGGAGCCACTCCAGTCTCTCTTGTCCTGTGGAACCCAGAACTGGACACAGAACTCCAGATGTGGCCTCACTAGGGCTAGGTAGAGGGGCAGGATCACCTCCCTGGAGCTGCTGCCAATGCTCTTCCAAATGTACTACAGGACAGCTTTGGCCTTATTGGCCACAAGAACACAATGCCAGCTCATGGACATTTCATTGTCCTCCAAGACTCCCAGGTCCTTCAACAGAGCTGTTTTCCAGCAGGTGAAAATTTAATACTTTTGTACTGAGACCAGTACTGAACCTTGGTAGATTCCACTAGTGATGGGCCTCCAAGTGTGCCACTAATTAGGACTCTGGGATCTGCTCTCCAGCCAGTTCTCAGACCACCTTTCTGTCCACTCACACAGCCCACACTTCCTGAGTTTCCTGTGAGGATGTTGTGAGAGAGCATTGAGAGCCTCGCTGAACTCAAGGCAGACAATATCCTTTGCTCTCCCCTCATCCGTCTGGATTTCATCATAGAAGACAATCAAAAATCAATGATCACCTTTAGTGAATCAATGCTGAAATGTTTAAGGGGAATAAAATAGCAGCCATTTTACCCTTCTCCCTTATCTGTGCTTCCCCTCATAGGCACACACATATTCTTAGCCTTTTTTTCTGTAATTATCCTTCTTTCCTCTTAGTCCTCTTAGTCTGCTCCCAAATCATAACTTAGCATTACCTTTGTATTGCTGAAATAATTCATGTTATATTAGTAAAGAGAGTTTGTGGTTTTTTATATATATGAGGATAATTATAATGAAGATAATAAGGTGGAAAATAGTTACGTCAGGGTAGCTGTATCCCATTAGAACTGGAATTTCGTTTCTGCTCAGTTTGGCTTATATTCAACCTGTTCTGATTTTGAAAGAATAAGCAACCCGAGCATATTCCTACGCTTATGAATAAAGCCATACTGTAGACTGGACATGAATAAATCCAGGCAGTCATTTTTATTGTCATTAAAGAGCATTTTTATTCTATGCCAAAAAATGTTCTTGGTAATCTATGAAAGAGGCTTCTGAGTTAACGAGTGAAAACTGGCATCTTTCTCACCCCCTGCCTTGGCAGAAGTGCATGATGAGTGTTCGTCAGCAGTCACAAGCGAACTTGTATAAAGGACAGACTTGCAGACGGACTTTTTCCAATTGAGTCCTTGATTGGCCCACTTGTACTTGTGCAGAATGACATGACCTTTGATTATACAGTCAAACACTACTTTTCCACCAAACATCTGCCTCATTCACTGCACAAAATGGATGACAGTGCACTGGGAATTGAATTGGGTTTGGCAATAAGGGAAACTACTGATTAGGGGTGTCTCATCTTAGTGAAATGAGGATGCCACTGCAATCGGATGGGCATTCTTGCCGTCTTTAATCTTTCAAGCCAGGCATACAGGTTTATTCATAGCCACATAAATTTAAGAAGATGAACAGGCACAATGATTGAAGCCACAGGTCTATCTAACCAAATGTTCTGTCTCTGGCAGAGGTCAAAAATAGATGCATGTGAAATAGTTTAAAAACAAGAAAATGCCACCTGCAGTTATTCCCTGAACTGCAATGCTTTTGTGATTCAGGGATTTCCTGATTTGGAGGAGTCTTTAGTATACACATTAAATCTCTGTTGATTTATTTTCATCAGCATCCCATCAAAGTCCTTTTAATCTTTTTCCATATGCTGTCTTCTCCTGTGGCAAGTCTGATAGCTCACCTCACAGACTTGCTCAAGCCTGCCATGTGCTGGCTTCCTGTGAGTGGGCAGTCCCTATCCATTCTCATCATGCAACTCATGCATGTGTCTTGTATTTCTCATATTCTTTCAGAAAAGGATGCTGAGCAGAAGCCAGAGGACATACCCAGGGTCCCAGAAAGCTCATAGGATGCCTAGAAGGCAGCCAGCCAGCCTTCACTTGCTGCTATCTGTAATAGCTTGGCCTGCCCATCTGTGCCATTGTCAGATACAGACATACTCTGTCCATAATATTTCTGCTTCAGTGATTCCTGGAAAAAAAGACTTCTGATGGTTGACATAGATTGCAGGGAGTGTTCAGTATGAGGTTTTTTTTGGCAAGTGGAGTGCCACTGTAGACAACAGGATTTTCTCTCTGATGCAACCATAGAATTTCTCTGTGATGCTGAGCTAGTCCAATACATGAAACTTTCCCCAGATGGGTATTAATTACATGTTTGAAATAATGACATTTGATTTGTAGAACTGCTGAGCATTCACAGCTGCAGTTGACATCATTGAGAACAGTACTTTGTACATGCAAAGTGCTGCTTACTGCCAACTTCCTTGAAAAATCAGTCCCTTCACATCTCTTACCAGTCAGTGCAATTAACAGATGCTTTTGACCTGTATTTCTTTGTGTTCTGTTTTCCTTGTTTATAATGAAACACTCCTCTGACTTGTCACGGTATTAGACTTTTAAATTCTCAGGCCCTGCCACACAAACCGTCACAGTGCAGCCCACTGAAGTAGGTAACTGTCATTCAGAGAGGATTTCCACCCTGCATGGGGAATGAGGTCAAAATCTCAACAATGACATAACAGGGTAACTAAAAAGTACCTGAAGAGTGACATTTGACAAGGGCATGTAGTGGTAGGACAGGAAATAATGAACTAATACTAAACTAAAAGAGGCCAGGTTTAGATACATAAAGGGAAGCAGTCCTTAACTCTGGTTGCCCAGAGAAGTTGTAGATGTCCCATCCCTGGCAGTGTTTAAGGCCAGGTTGGATAAGGCTTTGAGCAACCTGGTATAGTGGAAGGTGTCCCTGCTCATGGCAGGGGGGTTGACCCACATGATTTTTAATGTCCTTTCCAACCCAAAATACTCTCTGATTGTGTGATTCTATCTCACCATTCCACTGCCATTAACCATTCTGGGCACTTACCTCAAACACACACACAAAAAATTGCATATAATTATCAACTATCAGACAGTTTTTGTTATTTACTGGAGAACAAATATATATTGTCCAAAGAGTCGTAATTGTGGTATCTCCTATTTTTCCTGAATTTTCACAGCACTTGTCAGAGTGTTTGTTTAGACAGTAAACCTGAACTTATTTGCCTTTTGAAATTGTATTTTTGTTTGCATTTTCCTTTTAGAAAACACTTGCAACAACAAACGTCTGGACCTTGTTTTCATCATTGACAGCTCTCGCAGTGTGCGCCATTACGACTTTGAAAAAGTGAAGGAGTTCATTGTGACCATCCTGCAGTTTCTGGACATCAGCCCCGATGCCACGCGCGTGGGTCTGATTCAGTACGGCAGCACCGTCAAACAGGAGTTTTCCCTGAAGACCTTCAGGCGGAAGCAGGATATCGAAAGAGCAGTGAAGAGGATGATGCACCTGGCCACCGGCACCATGACTGGGCTGGCCCTGCAGTATGCAGTGAACATCGCATTTTCAGAGACAGAGGGGGCTCGGCCTCTGAGGCAGAATGTGCCCCGAATTATCATGATAGTGACAGATGGGAGACCTCAGGATCCTGTGGCAGAGATTGCTGCTAAAGCACGTAACTCAGGAATCCTAATTTTTGCTATTGGAGTGGGAAGAGTGGATATGAACACTCTGAAGTCCATTGGGAGTGAACCACATGAAGAACATGTGTTTCTGGTTGCTAATTTCAGTCAGATTGAAACACTGACCTCTGCCTTCCAGACTAAACTTTGTGGTAAGATTTTTATCTATAGATTTGAATACATAGATGAAAGTGAAACAGAAAAAATATGCATTATAATTTAGGGGTGGTTTTTTTTGTACATGAAACCTTATCTGTTAGAACATATGTATTGAAGGGAGATTAGCCAAATAACATCCAGAACAGTAGTCACACATGTGGGGAAAACTCATGCTACTCTTAAGTGCCATTAAATTTGATTTAATCACTTGTGGTCATAAGCAGGTAGGTAAACACACTTATGATTTTCCTATTTATTGCATAATAGCAATAAATTTATGATCTTTGCTATTTGAATATTAGATAAGTTTTTTCATCTCTTCATTTTAATTGTGATCTCCCTTAGTAGTGAATCTTTAAACTGCTCAACAGTCATTCAGTTATTTAAATTGTCTTGAGAGTCCATGGATTCCTCTTCCAAAGCTTACATACTAATTCTATGCAAAGAATCATTTCTTATATGCCTTGTGACTGGAAGTTTTTATATTCCATCTATTTTAAATACAGAAAGTTAGGAAAAGCCGTTATGGTGGTACTATTAATTCATACAATAAAGTAAATATTCTAATAGATATTAACTTACAACAGAGATAGCCCTTCCATCTGTAATTCCCTGATAAGGAATTACCTTTTGCAAATATCATGGTATTTGTAATTAATTTTATTTTAAAAGTCTACTTAGTAGACTTTTTTATTTATTCCTGAGATAAACATGAAAGTATTTCATACAAATTTGGCATTAGGCTGATGTATTTTCATTAGAGTCCAGAAAAAGAATTCATGGTGAGATTAAATAGTCACTCATGTCTAGGGATGTTTTGCCAGAAAAGAACTGCAGCTTATTGTAAGGATAGTCTGGAGAATTTTCCTTACTTGATCTTTTCCAAAATTGTTTCAAAGAGCAGCTGAACTGCCTCAGCACAAAACACCAACACAGACATTCATCAGATAATAGATTTTTCCCCATTTTTTCTTTGCTGTATTATTAGCTGGCATAGTAGGATATATTTAAAAACCAAGAAAGATAAAACTAATCATGGATTCAGAGTTTAAATGGAATGCACAGTAATTGCTGATTTTTTAGACTGTGTTTTAGAAAAAAATCAAGTACAAATACCATTTACTTGGTTGGGGTTTTTTTCTGACTGGGCAGTGTTCAAAAAAATTTATTAGAGTTTTTTAGCTCACTTTTAATCAAGCACGTGTGTTCCTCAGTAAAGCCACGCCCTCACTGCTGATGGAGGACTGTGGAGGTGACAAGGATAGTGATTGCCTCCTGCTTCCAGGGAATGCCTCCACAGGATTTGCTGTGCTGAGAATTCATAATGAGATCCTAAGACATGCTTAAAAACTCAGACCCAGATGTAACAGAGAGTTTAAGCTGTTAGATTCATATGGATTTTAACATAAGGTACTAAATTGCGGATAGGATCCACAACATTTTATTTTATCTCGATTGTGAGACAGCATTCAGCTTGCTGAATTTCAAGAGAGTAATCATAGCCTCTGCTTCCTCGAGCACCTACATTCCTGCAGGAAATGTGG